CTCCACTTTATATGTGATGCCGCCACAGTATGGCTTGACAAGTGGTACGTCGGTGCACGCCTGGGATTCGAATCTGTGAACCCTGGGCCGCTGAAGTGGAGCGTGCGCACTTAACTGTTGTGCCACTGCGCCGGCCCTGGGGGTGACTGCTGAGCAGGTGGGGTGCCTTCTCGCCTGTGCTCTGCTAGGAGGAGGGGCACCCACCCAGTGGTTGAGCCACCACCACTCTGTGTAGAGCTTTCCTATGGGTGCTTACACAGGCTGCGCTGCAATTCTGAAACAGCTCGTGCAGGCCAGGCTGTCCCCACCTCCTCTTAGTCACAGGTGGCTGCTGTGTGAGGACCTGCTAACTGGCTCGCTGCAGCCAGCAAGGGCGATTGGTGCACTTACTTAGTTCTACTGCCTCCTGGGGATCCAGTTCACCCACTTTCAGGTGTATAGCTGTGTGGATCTCTCAGAAGTCCTGTTATGCTGTGCAGGGAATCCTCTGCTGGTTAATGAATGTCCATTTAGTTATAACCTAAAGGGGAGAGACTGAGGGAACAATTCACTTCACCACAATGCAGATGTCATTCTGTCACATCATTTTACATTTCCACCAGCAATGTGTGAGGGTTCCAATTTCTCCACGTCACCAACTCGTTATTTTGTGTCTTTTTGATTATGGCCATCCCAGTGATTGTGAAACAATATCTTATTGTGGTTTTGATATCCATTTCCCTAATGACTAGAGATGCCAAGTATTGTTTCATGTGTTTATTGGCCATTTGTATACCTTTTTGGAGAAATGTCTATTCAAATCCTTTGCCGTTTTTAATTTTGGTTATTTACCTTTTTATTATTGAATTGTAAGTATTCCTTGTATATTCTAGATACAAGTGCCTTCTCAAATACATGAGTTGCAAATATTTTCTCCCATTCTGTAGGTTGTCTTTTCACTTTCTTGACAGTATCATTTGCAGTGCAAAAATTTTTAATTTTGATGAAACTGATTTACCTATTTTTTCTTTTGTCACTTGTAGTTTTTTTTTTTTTTGTGAGGAAGAGCTGCCCTGAGCTAACATCCGTGCTAATCCTCCTCTTTTTGCTGAGGAAGACCGGCTCTGAGCTAACATCTATTGCCAATCCTCCTCCTTTTTTTCCTTCCCCAAAGCCCCAGTGGATAGTTGTATGTCATAGTTGCACATCCTTCTAGTTGCTGTATGTGGGATGCGGCCTCAGCATGGCCAGAGAAGCGGTGCGTCAGTGCACGCCCGAAATCCGAACCTGGGCCGCCAGTAGCCGAGCGCACGCACTTAACCACTAAGCCACCGGGCCGGCCCTGTCACTTGTATTTTTGATGTCATATCTAAAGAGCCATTGACTGATGCAAGATTATGAAGACTGTCTCCTATGTTTTCTCCTAACAGTTTATAGGTTTCGCTCTCACACGATCTGAATGATTGGACAGGTCCCTTCCAAGGCAGTGACCTTGTTTTTCCCCAGCGATTTTTGTTCAACATTAGACTGAAAAGCCCTGTCCCTGTCCCAATCCTTGTCTGTGCATGTATAACTTAATTTATCCAAGAAGTTCATATTTTGGTTCCTGGGAGGTTACGAGCTGGATGTGTATATAACAGGTAGAATAAGTATTTGTCACAATGTATTTATTGGGCAGCTACCATGCTGCTGGAGCTAGAAAGATGAGTAAAATACCCTGCTCTTCCTCAAGGAGCAAATACACCAGTTGGAGATTCAGTCACGATATTTATTTTTCCGCATCTTGAAGGAAAGCAGTGGTAAAGAAGTACCTCTCTTTTATTTGTGGAGTGTGGGGTAAGTACAGAGGAGGGCACTAAATCCAACCCGGGAGGAAGGGTAGGTGGGTGAGAGGTGGAGGGAGGGTGAGGAGGTCCTGACTGGATGGGAGGAAGTCAGCTGGCTGAGGAGGCAGGGGGACTGAGCAGACCTTCGGAGACCTGGCCTGAGGACCAGGGGACTGTGCATCTGGCTGTGTGTGGTGAAAACAGCACCCCTTTCGCCTGGAAAGGGGAGCACGGGAAATCAGTGCCCAGCTGCTGGGGGCCAACCGAGGCAGAGAGCTGGCTTCACCCACCTTCCTGGGTTGCCTGGAACACAGATCTTAACGGGGAAGATTTCAGAGGCACAGACTCAGAGCTTTCCAGGTGATGTTCTGTAGAACACAGCATGCTCGAGATATTACCAGATGCCACTAGATAAACGCTGAGGAACAGCATAGCCCGAGAGGCTGGTAAGTTGCCGGGGCGAAGGCTCAGAACCATGGAGCTGTGGCTACTGTGCCCAGTACTGCCAAAAGGCCTTGGACCATGTGGTCTGAGAGGTGTCTGGATTTTGCCCTTTAGCAGCAGTAGGGATGGTGACCAGATGGCACAGAGTCGAGGTGTGAGTGGGAGTGGAAGTGGTAGCAGAGGGCACAAATCACTCTTGAGGCTCCTGGGAGAGGGGAAGAGAATGGCATGGCAAGGATTCCCATCCGCAGCCTCTCCCCTTGGATGTCCGTTTCCTCAATGTGTCCCCTTGTCCCCCCAACTGCTGTGACTCCAGGACTCGTCCCAAAGTCCACGCCCAGCCACCTGAGCATCCTTCCGATTGTACTTCTGCCTCTGCTCTTGGCCCCCATTCCTTGCTCAACTCTGCAAGAGAGCCCTTTGCAAACAACTCAGGATCATTGTCAAGCTAAGATCCCCACTGCCCTCACCTGGAAGCAGCTGGTGCCCCAGCTGCCCACTCTGCTCCTGCCTCCCTGGGCACCAGCCTCTCCGGGCAGTGGGCTGTCCTTCCTATGTGCTGTCTGCTCTCCTCCAGATACCACATCCCAGGCCCCTGACCACTGGACCGTCCCCTCCTTGACCTTACCATTCTTCTCTGCTCTTTATGACTTCTGGGCTCTGCACCACAAGGTCCCGGGGCAGTGGGTGGTCCTGCCTGTTCCCACTGTGTCCCCAGCACAGCTGAGGTGCACACAGTAGGTGGCTGTTTCACAGTTAATGGATGTGTGGGTGAAGTAGAGCATTTCAATTTTGCTTTTTAGGGTGCTGGAGAGTGTTTTCAGGTGAAGAACAAAGAGCACGAAAGAAATGTGGATGAGAGTGGTGTGTGGGAGATGAGTGAAGCCATGGAGAGAGATGGAGGGTCAATGGGGACACCCCATCCTCATGGGCAGGGGTGGACGTCCACTGGTGGTGTCAAGGGGAAAGAGTACCATTGCTATCTGACTCGAGACCATCATCTCACAAAGTGTGTTCACGTCCCTTCTCTTGACTTAGAGTCTGGTAACAAAACCCTGTCATCTGTACGATGCTCACCTGGGGCTGGTCAGTGCAGCTCAGTGCCCAGGTGCACAGGCATGACCCTTTGAGCTTCTGGAGCCACAGAAAATGCAACACATGTCCTAGGATCGTCAGCTTTTCATATTGAGGCCAACTCTGACCTGCTGAGAAGGCAAAATCCGCTGGCTCAGCCCCAGCTCCAGGACTGTGCTGGCTGAGGCCCACTCTGCCCACCCTCGCCCGGCCACTTCAGTGTTACACCCGCCTTGGTCTGTTGCCACTATAAATGAATGCACTGTCTGTCTGGGTGACGACAGGGTAACCAGTGGTCTCTGCTGTTCCCGAGTGCTCAGTAGGTGACTGCACTGGAGGCTGAGCCCAGGCACCACAAGACTCAGGAGGAAGAACGGGTTTACTCAGATCCGTGCTCGGTTACCAATCTGGTCTGATTTTTGGTCACAGGCCCCAAAATGCTGTTATTGTGAGTTTACATCAAAATACAAAGCCCCACATTTACAGTTTGAAAACTTAAAAACAAAAGCAGGCTTGGTGTAAAATTACACTTGAGACATTGTTCTTTCCAGTATGTCACCTATGTGGTGAAGGGAGGTGTTCCAGACCTCGGGGAACGATTTCTGACAGGGAACATTGTTGTGTAGCGTGAACATTTAGGCATTATCAAAAAGTTCCCATGTCTTTGAGCACTGAATTTTATTGAAGATACAAACAACGCTTGGGACCGTCTTTGGCTGTACACCAGATGCCCAACTGCGGCGGCCCTGCCGCATCCTCTCCACCCACAGGTACGAGAGCCTTGGACGAGGTGGGGGTGCTGGGCGGCCGCTGAGCCAGGGGCTCACTGGCTCGGGGGCTCGAAGGGAGCCAGAGGTGGAGCACTGTCCCCTGAGCACCTGTGCTCCTAGAGGATCTTTTCTCCTCAAAAGGGAATCGTATGGCCCAGCCTTGGAATCGCTGGGAGAACACCCCTGCTGGAGAATAACCCTGCTTTGCCAAATGTGGCAAAATTTAGCTTTAAATTTAAAATTAGGAATCAGAGAACCATCATCTAATTTTCTCAGCAATCTCTTTTAGGGTCTTTGATTCTTCCTTGGAGCCAGAGGCTGAGCTACCGTCCTGGTGTCACCTGGGGAGAGGAGACTCCCGCCACACACTGCCCACCTCAAGGACAGCATGGGCAGAGGGCCAAAGGCCCTCCCGGGGATGCACTGACTGCTGAGCTTCACACGGCTAAACCTTCAAATGGCTAAAGAAGAGACAGGCCTTGAGAGCCACTGCACGGCGGGGCCTCCAGCTGAGGGGAGAGGTGAGGGCCTGGTGGTCGGGTGACTTGTGACCCTTTGATGCTGTGCCCTTCTCATTTCAGATTCTCTTCCAGATGGTTCCACAGCTGTAGGAAAACATCCTCTAGAAGCTCAAAGGTGACTGGGCTCAGGCTCAGAGGTGGCCTTCCAGGTGCAAGGGAGGGGCTATTTGACCATCCCCACTGACCTGCCCAGGGACATGGCCAGCCCATGGTCAGAGCTGGTGCAGCTTGGCCCGCTCAGTCAGCAGCGTCATGGCCATGGCGTAGAGGAGGTAGCCCAGCACGAGGAGGAGGGTGCAGGGCAGGGGCCCAATGCAGAAGAGAGAGGCCACAAAGAAAGCCAGCAACAGTGACAGCAGCGTCCGGTAGCTGCCTAGGAAGCGCAGGCTGAGCCTGGGGCCTGGGGCACGGCTGGCCGTGTGACCCCCCTGCACAGGGCTCAGCAGGTGCCTGTCCCCCAGCCCGGGCTCCGTGAGGTGGTAGCGACAAAGGCTGCCGAGGAAGTCGGCCCGGGAACACAGGGCTGCCATCTGGCCTGCAAACTGGAGCACAGACAGAGGCAGGGGGAGTGGGCACAGGCGGGGGCTGCACTCTCCCCTGGGCTCTCCCCAAGGCTGCAGGATGGGAAGGGGACGCGGAGGCGAGGGTCGGCCCTCCCGCCCACACTCACCCTGCAGTTGATGGCGGAGGACAGCCGGAAGAGCAGGCGGACCAGGCCGGCGATCTCGTAGCTCCGTATGGGCTGCAGCTCCCTGTCCCCCTGGTACTCGATGTCAAACCTGCGCAGCCCGTTGATGATCTAGAAGCAGCAGGAGACGCAAGCCCCAGGTGAAACCCAGGCCATGGGCAACCCAGAAAATACACCTCTGCTGACGACTCAGAGAAGATGTCTCTGCTATGGGGGTGATGGGGAGATGAGGACAGGCCGGTGGGACCAACAGCCATGCTGCATGCAAAGCCAGACCCCTCCAGGATGTAGCCTTACCTGGTACCGGCCCAGGGGCGTGAGGATAAGTCCGTCCTCACCCACAATGCAGTCTGGGAGCTGCTTCCTTCCATTCTCGTCCTGAGCTGTCCCCAAGGCAAGCGTGAGCTGGGCGAGCTGGGCCTCGCTGAGCTGTCAGAGAAAGCCCTCTTGTGAGGCAGCAGCCGCTTCTCACCACCTCTTTCAGCTTCAAAGGGGAGGGAGGAGACTGGTGCTCAACCCCCGGGCCTCTAACAATGACAACGAGGGGACCCAGATATGACACTGAAGGTATGGGCCTGCACCTCCCATGAGATGAGCCCGTGTGGTGAGAACCACACCAGGTCCTGGTATGTGGCTGGTTCCAGCCAGGCAGCGGGTGAGGGCCGCCGGAGCAAACCCTGGGAGGGGAGAGCACGGCTCATACTCGGAACATCTGGCACAGGTACTCCAGGGCCTTCTCCAGGTACTCATCCGTCTTGCGGATGCTGTCCTGCCCCATCTCGTCCAGGTCGTTGGCCAGGTAGGAGCTGTTTGTGTCCACGGGGCAGAAGCCCAGCCACGAGAGAAAGGAGTGGCCGGCTGCGCTCTCCCCACACTGGTCAGAGATGGACTTGGCGGTCTGCTTGGCCTGCGTGATGAGCTGAGCCAGGCGCAAGACCTGTGGGGCAGATGGGCAGGTCAGCCAGCACTTGGGGGGCTGCCTCACACCACCCAGCCACCAACAGATCGGTGGAGAGGGCCAGGAGGGGCGGCTTCTGTGTGATGAGGATTTTTCAAGACTAAGATGTGTGTTCTAGGTGTGGAAAATTTCTAACAAACACTGCCTTTACTATCACAATACATCAGATTTCACTGAACAAAAAGGGGAGGAGGTATAGCAGCATCTACTCAACACCCAGCCCTCCTCTTCTCCTTTCCGAGATACGCGGCTCGTCCCAGGCACGCTGTCCCGGAGCCTCGGGACACCCTGTGGCCCAGCAGAGCCCCGACTCACTCACCAGTGTCCGGACCTCGGGCCCGAACATCGGGGTGTACTTGCAGTCCTGGCCCTCCAGGCCGTAGACGTGGCTCTTCACCTTGAATGAGGTGTCAGTGATGGCCGGTGGCCACGACGACAGGAAGCTGCCGGTGAACATGGGAGCTGTGAAGACGCGGTGCTGGCGGTGGGGGATGACGAGCTCAGGCTCCAGGAACAGCTGCTCGCCTGGAAGGCAGGGCCCAACCCTGGCTTCAGCTTCCAAGGGCACAAAACACCCAGCTGCCCCTGACAGGCTTACTGAGCGCCTCTGAAAGTTTCTTTCTGAGTGGGGTGACTGCGTGGCATGGGGCCCCCACCAGTCTCCACAGGAAGGCCAACTCTTGCCAAGAGGAAGCCAGAGAAAGCAAGGCCTAACACAGCCAGCTAAGATGACAGTGTGACAGGGACCAAGATCGCCTCCTGATGCCACCACCAGGATCACCAGGGAGACACAGCTCAGAGCTCTGCTTCCCCTCCCGCCAGACACACCTGCAGCCACCAGCCCAGCACCACCAGGAGAAGGAGGGGAGCAGCCAGGCTCAGACAGTCAACCTGCCACTGTGTGCCAGGGCTCCGCACACCACCCTTTGCTGAGGCCACCCACAAGCCCGTGTGGCACATGCAGGGTCCGTGGGTCCCTCTCTAAGTGCTGCTTGCTGCCGGCTAAGGGCTTACCTTTCTGGATCATTTCAGCCAGGTTGGGCTGGGCAAAGACTTTGGCCACTCGGAAGACCATGAGTGCGTTCTTGGGGCTGACCAGGTCAGTGCGGAGTGCGCGGCTCAGGAAGCCCACGAAGAGCTTGGTGTACATTAGCAGGTTCTCCTGCACAAAGGGTGCCCTGGGGACCGGGAAGTGCATCAGGGGCCAGACTTCCTTCTGGAGGCAGGGCTGCACGGGCCCTCGCCCCATTGCGCCCCCACTCTTCCTTGGGTTCCAGACTCTCCCTGGCCACGACCTCATGGAGGCGTCACAGACGGTGGCTGAGGGGGCCTGGGGTGCAGGGGAGGAGGCAGGACAGAGGCAGGTGAGACTAGGCCCCCTGAGGATGAAGGAATCCTCCACAGGATGAGGCCCTTTCCAACAGGATCCAGGCCACCATGGCAGAGTTGCTCGGGCACCAGAAGGGTGCACAGGGGAAGGCGGTCAAGAGGAGGAGGTGCCAGGGGCAGCCAGGGGTTAGCTGTGGGATGCTGGGGAGGCGGTGGGGGTGGCTACCATGCAGAGAGCTGGTGAGCAAGGGTCTAGGGGTGGTTTGGGGGTGAGCGTGAACCATACATCTGGGATGATTACGGCAAGGGGACAGCTTCCAGGGGAATTCCATCCCAGGGCCCAGGTGAGACAAGCCAGGGTCAAGGAGCGGGCGGCCCGTGCTCCCACCCTGAGGGACTTCGGAGAAGACCCTCAAGAGGCCCTCGAAGCAGGTCCCCTCGGGGGAGGAGAGGGCACTGGGGCTCACCATCTCTCCGACACACACCGGGCCTGGCAGTCGCTGCTCTGAGCCTGCTTCTCAGGCGCATATCTCCAGGGCTGCAGGTAGCTCAGCCACATCTCCAGGACCTGGGGAGACATGTGTGCCCTGAGGGCCAGGTGGCTGGCACTCAGGTGGGCTATGGGCTGGGGCTTTGGGCCAAATCCTTACGTGGCATGGAGCCGGCCCCCTGGAGGAGCTCAGGTGAGCAGTGGTGCGTCCCTAGCTACGCGGCTTCGGCTCTGCCACCTGGTTCTAGTCTCTTCCCATGGCCCCCAAGAGGGAACAGCTGATTCCCTCCCATGTCCACCCCACAGGAAGTCCCTCATCAGGGCACACGGAGGGCAAAGGTGAAGGTGTGCCAGGGCCGACACTCACGGCTCTGAACGACGCATCCAAGGGCCAGTGGCCGAAGCAGTGCTGCAGGAAAAGGTAGAGCTTCTGCTGGACAAACCTTGGGACAGCAGCCCTGCAGCAGAGAGGGGAGGGTCACCTGCTGTTTGCAAGGGTCGGCTTGAGCAGGGGTTGTGCCGGGCATCCCCTGGAACTAAGGCCTCCTATTTTAGCCCCATTCTTCAGAGGGAAAAACCAAGGTTCAGAGAGGTTAGGGAACGTCCCAAGGACACACAGCACACGTGCCTGATCCAGCATGGCTCCTGTGCGCACCTCAGCGTGGCCTGCCCCATGCAAGTCGCCCACTCTGCCAGCGCCAGTGGCCCTGGGAGTCAGGCCACCACTCCAGCCTTCTCCTGACAGGGGGAGGAGGAGGGAGAAGCGTGGAGCGCGGTCTTCAGTGACCACTGAGCTACCTGCTGTGGAGGCGCTTCCAGCCCGCTGGCTTTCCTGGGTGCTCGGGGACACTGTCAACCAGAGCTCCCCCTTCTGCTCAGGGCTGGGGAGGAAGGACAAGACGGAGCAGCAAGACGGGCCTCTGCCCAGCCAGCCTGGCTATTCCCACTGAAGAGGGCAGGCCTGGAGGGAAAGGCCACCGCAGCCGGAGAAGCAGCCGGGCGGCCCCTACCCCCTCTGGAGCCAAGACTCTGGGGGCCTGAGGGGAGGTGGTGGAAGACAGACCCAGGAGGGGTCAAGGTGACTTCCCGCCTGCCCCACCCTGCAGAGCCTCACACATCCCGGGGAGGGGTCACTGTGGGCAACACATATGTGTAGGACAAGGAAGTGGCAGGCTGGGGACAGAGGCCCTGCATACAGCCCGGTACCCACCGTTTGAATTCCTCCAGGGGGCTGGCGGCGTGGGAGTGAGCAGAGGGAGAGAGCTGCTCGGCCTTCAGGCTGTGAGAGAAGGCGTGCAGGCGCTTCAGCAGCAGGCGCACCACCAGCACGTGCTCCTCGGTGGGCGTGAACGACTCCTAAGGTCGAGGAGGGAGTGGCGTCAGGACCCAGGTGGGTCTGGGGGAGGGCTCCTGGTGCCCACAGTGCTCAGCCCCCAGGTCTGACCCTGCTCAGCCTGGGCCCCTCTCTCTGCTTCCCTGACAGGAGGGGGGCCGGGCTGGCAGCGGGCCCGCCACCAGGGTGCCACCCGCGCCTGCACCAGGCAGACGTGCCACACCCCACTGGGTGTAACTGCTGGGTCTGATGGAGACCTGCTCAAAGTGGCGAAGCGCTTGGCCCAGCGCCTGCTGTGCCCCCTGGGCCGGCTTCCTAAGACAGACACATCTGGCAGGTGCTTCCCTGAGTGTTGCAGACCCCTTTCCTGTACCCATTGTGGGTGACTCGGGTCACTGGTGCCCATCTGGGTCCTCAGGGTCCCCACCTCCTGGCCAGCTGGAGGAGGAAGAGTAGGGGCCAGGGCACGCCAGCATCCCACTGTGATCTGGACTCGGGGTCTCCTGCCCACCTCCCAGGCATGTGCAGACAGCTCACTGGGGCCCACGGCTTCCCTTTCGGGTGAACCACTCCCCAGTTCCTTCTCCCCCGCAACCCCCACCCTTCCACCTGTCCCTCTCCTGGACCCAGCATGTTAGGGGCTCAGCCCAGGACAGCCCTTCCTCCCTTGCTAATGGACCTGTGGTCAGTACCACCCCCAAAACAAGCGAACCCTCAATCTTGTGAGCCAAACTTTCAATTCAGAGTCCATGAAGGATCTCTAAGAGGAAAGCCTGTGTGCTGGCTGTTCAGCGACGGAGAGCTGGGGGGGGTGGGGGAGCGGCAGGGCACCTGAGGAAGTGGTAGATGGCATTGCTCCCAGCTCTGGGGCATCCACACCGACACGCTCCTCTCCCCCTCACCCCAGGCCCCTGGGGCCTCCACAAACTTGACGGAGGAGCTTTTGGTGGCCACATCCAAATCCCAAGCAGTGCTGAGGCTGGCACAAGCCACTCTTCCTGGCACATCCAGGGCACAGCAGGACTCTCACAGGCCCTGAGCAGAGGAGGCCCCCCAATGGGTGCTAAGCCCCTGCCCTGGCTCCGCCACTGCCCATGGCCCCATCCACTCAGCTCTGTCATGGAAATGCCTCCACAGGCCCAGGCAACACACCCCACAGGTAGCTATATCTGGGACGGAACTCTGGAGGTAGTTTTCTTCTGCTTATCTATATTTTTAAGTCTTTGTGCAATGAATTTGCATCATTTTGAGGAAAAAAGTATGAGATATTTCAATAAAAATAATATTAAAAGGGTATTGAAGACTGTAGGGCACCACTGCCAGGCTGTGACTCCCCATCGGGAGCCTTCCCCTCTCTCACTCCTGGCCCCTCGCCCTGACCCTGGCCACCACCCCTTCGTGTCAGGGGAGGTGAGAGCACCAACTTGGAAACAAGGACCCCCTGCCCCATCTACCCTCACCCTTCTGTGGCATTGCTAGAGAGCCAGACTCCCCCCACATGGCCCCAGCAACCACCCTGGAACCCTCTCGGGCTATCTTATCTCTAGGTTTGTCAAGTCAAATCTCTTTTCTTCCAGCTCCCTGCCCTCCTGAGCCAAATCCCCACGGGAGTCTCTGGCCACAGCTGCACGCGGCCTCCTCCCCCTTTTAAGGACCCTTTCCCAAAAGCCGCAGCGTTTCTCTCTAGGCCTGGCTCTCGGGAGCTCTGCATGCCCCTCCTGGGGCTCTCAGCTCTCCTGCCGTGGAGGTGGAGGCAGCCAGATGCTTCTCCAGGGACCCTGCTCTTAGCCAAGTGAGACCCTCCCCAACAGAGGCCAGAGCGACACCCACTTCTGTGCCCAGCCCGCCCACACCGGCCCTTCTGGACCATTCCCTTCCCTCCTCACGGCAGCTGCTGCTTCTGAGCAGGAAGCCCACTGTGTGCCGTGCTCAGCATCCCATCCCAGCAAACGTGATTTCTCATCTTGTTCTCAAGGTCAATGCTGTGTGCTCCCACCCAGGGTGAAGGGACAGGCCCCCAGCCACGGACACGATATCAGATGCCTGATTCCGTGGTTCCTGCCCAGACTTCCTGGCACTCATCTCACGAATCAAGGAACTACAAGGTTGTTGGCCTGAAACACCCCACAGCTCTGAACTCCACTCCACTGACCTCGAGTTTGTCCACACACTGGTCATTTCTGCCCAAGCAGACCATAGTCCCCATGAGATCACTGCCGGCTCCCGTCCACCTCTGGAGGACTCCACAAGAGGCCAGGTTCACAGGAGAAGGCCGGGCCCCGGATTGCCCAGGGAAAGACAGCCTCTCCGGGCTGGGGGCCGAGCCCCGTGTTCTCCCCACTGCTCTGCCTCACGCACGGGCTCGGGTTGGCAGAACTGTACCCCCTAAAAGTCCCAGGGCCTCCACACCTTCGGTCAGTTCCTGAGTACCAGGCCTGCACTGCGGGTGAGTCAGGCCACTGCAAAGGCCGCACCACTTCACTCCCTCGAACTAGGACCAAGCACAGAGCCCTCCAACACTCGAGAACTTGCGACACCTCAGCTGACTTATTGGCTTATAGCTTGGCCAGGTAGATTCAGTGACCCCCCAGCCAGGTGGGGTCATATGCCTCGCTCCCTGCCACATCCTGCACATCCCAAACCCAGGCTAGTCTGCAAAGCTGGGGGCTGGGCCAGGCTGAAGGCTGCCCCTACGTCTCCCACCTCACACGCGTGGGCCTCATTCTGCCTGGAACTGGTCTCTGAATCACCCCCAGCCGGCCCCCTGTCAGACCCTAGCTTTACCGCTGCCCTGATGTTAGCTCTGTGGCTTACACCACGGGCAGGTGTGAAGGGAACAAAACAGAGCGGCCAGTACTTGGTAGGCGTGGAGGGCCTGGAGGCTGGGTTGGGCAGGGCTGCGGAGGGCGCTGGAGACACTGAGTCGGTAGTGCAGAACCTCCAGCTGAGAGACAACAAAACAGAGGCCAAGAGAAGGGGGGGCAGAAGAGGGGCGGGGGGACAGGAGAAGGGAAGGGGAGAGTGGGGAGAGAGAGAAAAAAGTGAGAACGGGCCCAGAATTAAGGAGAGAAAACAAAAAACAAAAACAAAAGCGGTCAGTGACAATCCAACAACCACAGTGCAGCAGCCTCAGGCCTGGAGACACCCCCTCAGCGGCCCAGACGGAGCCCCGCCCTCCTGGTGGGCCAAGCCCAGCCAGGCCAAAGGTGGGGACGCTCCTCCACCTGCCAGGCAGAGGGATGAGGGACAGACAGACCCTCAAGGTCACCTGGGCAGCCCCTCAATGTCGCTGGGGCCTGAAGACCTCTCCAGCTCCCTGAGGTCAGCCAGACCCACTCTCCTTCCAGAGGGTCCCGCCCTCCCCCAACCCTGATCGCAGTGCACGCAGTGCATGCACGCTGCAGCCCGCCAGGAGCCCAGGGGCCTCGCTGGGACATGCTGCTGGTCACCAAGGCCCGGAACGCCCTGAGGCTCAAAGAAACTTTTGAGGAGCCAGTTCCAGACGGAGGCCTCTCTGCCCAGGAAAGAAAAATATGTAATTTATTGGACTTTCCTGGATTGTCCCAATGAGAAATTTACCAAATCGGTACATGATGTGATCAATTCCTGGGTCTAAGATCCAATCAGTGTCCCATCCTGAACCGTTCTCTCTGCCTGGGGCCTGGTTCCCAAAGGCAGCACAGGCTCACCCGATGTCCTCCACACACCACATTCCAGAAATGGTTGAAGCGGCCCACTCATCGGTTCTAACTCTGGGAAGACCAGCCTCTACCTCACCAGGGCCCCCACCCTCCAGATACACACAGCCTGCCATCAGTCCCAATGTCAGAAGCCCCCGAGAACCTGGCCGGGGCCACACACACCCAGAGGCAGCTGGAACCCTGAGGCTGGGACAGCCCGGGACAGTGGGGACACCAGCTGAGCGGCTATGCTGTCTGGCTCCACCCCAGGGCCCTCAGGCCTCCTCCCTGCAGCGTCCAGGCCTGCTGAAGCAGCCCCTTCAGCCAAGTGCAGCCCAGAGCCGGCCCGGCACACATCCTGCCTGTGAGGGCCATGCCTCCCGCCCGAGCAGCGTGCCCCACCAGGCTTCACACAGGACAGGTCAGAGCACGTATGCCAGACTCTGAGGAGACAGGCACAGCCAGAGACACACAGAGCAGGCCAGGAAGGAGCACAGCAACGAGGTGTCGGCCCTTCCCAGCCTTCCTCCAGCCAGACCCGGGCTCAGCTGCAGCTCTCAGTGAGGGATCAGGGAGCACACGGTTCCCCCGTGGGGTCCCTGCCCCTGCCTGCGGGAACACAATGCAGGCCCCACAGTGGCCTGCAGGGCTGTGGCCGTCCTTACTGCCCATGGGCCCCTCCAGAAGCCCCATTCAGGAAGCGGGGTGGAGTGGGGGCCTGGGCCTCTAGGGAGCGAGTATACACTGGATCCAGCCATGGACCCTCTGTGGGACCTCCAGGAGCTGCACTTCCTGCATCCCTAATCCAGGAACAGGGACCCAGGGCTACACTGGGACTGGCAAGGATCCCACACGGCGCAGTGCAGGTCTGAATAAACAGCAAGGGGCCTCGGATGAAACCGACCTCTGAGGCCGCCTTTCCCAGATTCCCACATGCCCTGTTTTCTCAGGTTTTGTTTTTCTGCCTCAATAGGAAGCAAAGGGCAGAACCTCTCTGGGCACCTGGTGGGGCCTTCACAGATACGCCCCACTTCCAGTCATTCTGAGCAGCTCTCACCCGCCCCTTGTTCTGGCCAAGAGGAAGCAAAGGTGGTGGAAAACGGGAAGGACCCCGCCCTGGCAGGCACAGCCTCCTGCACCTTCCCCATGCAGACTCAGAATCCTCCCAGGAGACAGCCCAGAAGGCCTTTCTGGCTGGCAGATCTACTGCCAAAAATTAAAGTGGGTGTGGTTCCACTGGCTCAGAAGAGAGAAAGAGCAGACAGGAAGCGAATGCAGCAAAGTGGCCTCTGCAAGCCACATGCATAGGGGCTAAGCAAGGCTCCCAGGAGCCCAGGGGAGAAGCCTCTACCCCCCAACTACCTGTGCACCGGCCAGGTACATGCAGCAAGTCTGCTTGGAAGCAGGAAGGCAGGGCAGGGGCTCTGTGATGTGAGAGGTCCAGGATGGAGTCCCCCTCACTCTCCCCTCCTCCTGTGTGATGCCAAGGACAGAGATTTGGGGTGCTCTGCACTTTAAGAGAGCAGTGGTGGGGGCTGCACCCCAAGCGTCCACACAGCAGAGCACTGGGGCCGCAGAACTGGTGGCCAAGACTCTGCAGCAGGAGGAGAACCAGCGCTTCTCCCAAGAATCACAGAGGACAAACTGCAGGCTGCCCTTTTCAATTTTAACCCAGAGATCCTTAATTCTTAAGGGAGCCCTCGAGAACTGTATCTGGCAATGACAAAAGCCAAGTCTGAGGAACAAACTAGTGCACAGAAGCCTTGGACTGCAGAGTTATAGGCCAACGCTGCTTGCAGCAGGGCCCAGGTGTGCGGGATTGAACCGCTTCATGGAGAGGGAATCTAAGCGCCCATCCCGCCACTTACTAAGTGGACACAACCGTGCGACCCTGAGGAGTCCAGCAGGCAGCAGGGACAGCGACCCCAGGAGGGTGCCGGGGACTCAGCTGCCTCCACGCCTCTGCACATAAGTGTGCTGCCCAGCGAGGGAAGGGGGAAAAGGTGAGGAGGAGACAGGCCAGGCCGCGTGCAGGAAGGTGTCAGACCCCACCCACCACAAACACAGCTGCGCGCCGATGCTCTGGAGGAAGTGGAGGGCAGCGTGGGCCCCAGGGTGGACGGAGGCTGCCGAGTGCCACCTCAGCGGGAAAGCAGGAGGCACTGAGATGGTAGAGGGGACAGATCCGGACGTGACTCCCAGAGGCATCTCAGCTCCCCCACCTCCAGAGCACGAGCACCACAGCCTCATCCGTTCCCGCTGCCAGGGACGGGGCTCTGGGAGTAGCACGGTGGGGACCTCAGAGAGGACAGTCCTTTAGCCCTCAGGGCGCACACCCAGCACAGAACAAAAGCCACCTGCTGTTCAGCAACTGACTGAGGGGTGAAGGTGGGTTTCTGGTTCCCCTTATCCAGCCCTTGTAAACCAGCTGTGATCGAGGACAGGAAGCGGCAGGTTCACCAGGCACCAGGGCTGGAGCAGGAGATGGGGAGACAGACTGTGGCAACATACCTTGGCGTGAGGGGACTGCATTTTTTGGTACATCTCCAAGGAATAATGATGAAGCCACATTTCAACAAAAACCTGCAAAAGAGCATCAGCTGCTCAAATGATTTTCCACAAGGGCGTCAACACCATTCATGGGGAAAAGGACAGTCTTTTCAACAAACGCTGCCAGAAAACAGGATCCCCACATGCAAAGGAATGAAGCGGGCCCCTTACCTCACACTATGTACAAACAATGACTCAAAGTAGAGCAAAGACTTAAAAGTAAGAGCTGAAACTATAAAACTCCTAGAAGAAAGCACGGGGAGAAAGCTTCATGACATTGAATTTGGCAATGACTTCTTAAATATGACTCCAAAAGCAAAGGCAACAAAGGAAAAAAAATAGACAAATTGGACTTCAAGAAAATTAAAAACTTTTGTGCATCAAAAGACACTATTGACAGAGTAAAAAAGCAACCCATGGAATGGGGGGAAATATTTGCAAATTATGTATCTGATAAGCAATTAATATCCAGAATATATATAGAAATCCTAAAACTCAGCAACCAAAAAAGAAACAACAACCCAACTCAAAAATGGGCAAAGGATTTGAATAGACATTTCTCCAAAAAAGACAAACAAGTAGCCAATAAAGACATGAAAAGATGCTTAACACCACTAATCATTAGGGCGATGCTAACCAAAATCACAATGAGATACCACCTCACATCCATTAGGACAGCTATAATCAAAAAAACAGAAAATAACCAGCACTGGTGAGGATGTGGAGAAATTGGAACCCTTGTGCATTGATAGAAGAAATGTAAAATGTTGCAACTACTGTGGAAGACAGTATGGTGGTTCCTCAAAAAATTAAACGGAATACTGGACAGTCCAGCAATTCCACTTCTGGGTACATACCTCCCAGAAATTGAAAGTAGGGTCTCGAAGTGATATTTGCATATCTACGTTCATAGGAGCATTATTTTCAATAGCCAAGACGTGTAAGCGACCCAAATGTTCATCAACAGATGGATAAACAAAATGTGATATATCCACACAATGGAATATTATTCTGAGACATGCTACAATGTGGACGAACCTTGAAAACACTATGCTAAGTGAAATAAGTCAGTCATAAAAAGACAAATACTGTGTGATTCCACTTATCTAGGCACCTAGAGTAGTCAAATTCACAGAAAGAGAAAGTAGACTGGTGGTTGCCAGGGGCTGGGGGAAAGGGGAATTGAGGAACTGTTTTTTAATGGGTACAGAGTTTCAGCTTTACAAGATTAAAAAGTTTTGGAGATCCATTGCAACAATGCAAATACACTTAACACTACTGAACTGCACAATTAAAATGGTTAGGACGGTAAATTTTATGTTCTGTGTATTTTACCACAATTCCAAAAAAACTTTTTTAATTAAAAAAAAAAAAAAAGCATCAACGTTTCAGTCCAGGAAACAACTCTCTGGTTCTGCCCTGCAAGCCCAGGTCTTGGTCACCTGCCCTCCCCACGGGCTGGCAGAGCCCAGAGCCCACATTAGCTGTGAGCCAGGGGAAGCACCGGAGCCCCCTTCTGTGAACAGGGTGATGATTCCAGCTGTTCGACCTTCTGGTGCTGCTACAACAGTAACAAGGAAGCCTCAAAAAGCACAGCAACCCACACGCCATGGGTCATGTACAAGGTAGGAGGGACCGAATCCCATCTTATCCACATTCCAGGTGTCGATAAGCAATGCTCTTGGTTATCAACTCAGCCCCAGAGTCCAGGCTCAGAACCGGCCAAATTCCTCTGAGCCGTGCTGGGAAGAGACAGATAGGCCTGGGAGGCGGCCAGCGGTGCGCTGCGGGAGGGAGCCAGCCCAAGCCTGAGGCAGAGTCTGGAGCCCGCACGTGGCAGACAAGAGGCCCTGCCATCTCCTGTTTGGATCCTCTGACACGGAAGGGCAGGGGCGGCTGCCTGACGACCAACGGGAAGGCTTCGAGGGCCCTCTCTGCTCAGCATCATAAGAATGCTGCTGGGGCAGGGTTTACACCTACACAAGGATCACAGGAACCATCTCCATCGACATGGGAGTGGGTCAGAGAGGCAGGGAGAGCATTTACATGGATCCACTGGAAACTAAAAGACTGGGCAGCAATTACATCACCATGAGAAAAAGAAAACTCTGTGGACAGGGAATCCTGGGATGAAAAACACGGCCAATGACATATAAGTTAGACCAGTGGGTAAATTTCTTGTCTGTTTTCTAAACGTCACAGCAGGAAAATACTAACAATTTAGAACCATCCCCAGGATGACGGGTAGTCTTTAGGCCTCTGCCCCATGGGGTGGAAGGTGGCTGAGCTGTTTATTTGGAAATGGAAGCAGAGAAGACTCACCTGGAGCAGAGTTTCTGACCTCCAGATCTCGTGGGAGGCAGGATCTGCATTCACAGATGTCTGATGAGAGATGTGTCGCTTCAGAAGGCTGGTGTGGTGGAGGCCGTAGGAAGCGAAAGGCATGGCTGGTGTCCTGAGGGAGACAAAGAAACAGGCCTTAGGTAGGGGCTCCTGCTGGCATAACCAGGGGCAATCTGGACATCAAAATCAACTACAGCGGTTAACGATTACAGCCTGTTGAATCACACAATGACCCCCAAGTCTGTGTTGATATATATAAATAAATAAAAGAAAAGTCTTCCTTACCACAGAGTGCCCACTAATAAATGCAAGAGTGATGAAATCAGAAAATCATCACTTGGCAACCAGCCTATTAATAACTGATCTGGCCGAGGATCATCAAGGGATGCAAACACTAGCGATAACTGCATAGCCTCAGTATATTTTCCCACTAAATCCCCCTTGTTAATTAATTTACGTACAAAGTACTTATTTAACTTTACAGCAGGAAAACCTGGACAATACCCCTTAGCCCAGTGATCAAGCTAATGTCCCCAGTGATGGGGTACAGACACCCTGGGCCACGGCTGCAGTGCTCCTCCCAACAACATCCAAGCTGGGCCTAATCCCGAGGAAACACCTGAGAACACACACCCAGGCTGCATGCTTTACAGGCATCAAGGTCAGGAAAGACTGAGGGGCCATTCCAGACTGATGGGCACTAGAGAGACAAGTGCACACAGCAAGTGACCCTGCACTGGGTCCCAGCCAGGCAGCAGACATTAGTGGGGTAGCTGGTGAAACCTGAGTGGGGTCTGAGGATTAGATGGTGGCCTGGTGGCAATACTAACCCCCTGACTTGGATAGAAGTGCTGTGGTTATGAAGCAGACTGCACTCGCTTTTAGGAAATACACTCTGAAATGTCAAGAGGTTATGGGGCATCATGTCTGTAACTTACTCCAATGGCCCAGAAAGAAACCTACGCAGATAAACAGAGAGAGGACAAAACAGTTCAGAAATCTAGGTGAAGGTCTCTAAAAGTTCTTTATGTTGTGTGTAGCAGCTTTTCTGTAAGTCTGAAATTATGTGTTAAAACAAGCAAACAAAATTGGGCCCAGAAAACCACTTGGCAGCTTAAGTCTGCCTTGGAGAGGGCGTGAACCTGCCCCCCCCCAAGTCCCCCTTCTCGGCTGCAGCATCATCAACGTCTGGGCAGCCTCTCCCCACTTCTGTGCCCCACCCCCCACTCTCCTCCTTTCAATTCCTTTTCCTCGGGGACATCTGTCCACACGGGAATTTGGGGTGATGGCATGGCACGTGCCAGCAGAGGTGGGGTGGGCAGCACCTGCAGGAAAGACCCTGCCTGCAGCCTCCCAGGGAGGCGGTGGGTCAGCGAGGTTGAGGAGGGGTCAGAGGAGCACAGGCGGCGGCTGCCGGGGCAGGAGGGTCTCTTGGGGAGAGTTGGCCCAGAGGTCCCACGTTTAGGGTGCATTAAGGCCCCAGTTCACCCTCGGGCCGAGGCTGGCTGCACAGCCCCCTCCTGCATAGTGCAGCCGCAGCCCAGCCTGCTTGGACTGGCACAGAAGGCTCTTCACCCCAGGACCTCTGGTTCAGGCCAAGACCTGGTGCTGGAGGCCAGAGAGATGCCAACTATTCTCATTTGTCCACGGGTCGACCTTCCACGGCCTGCCCACAAGTCCTTTCTCTCCAGAACCATCGGCCTAGAACCATCAATCAGCTCTCAGCTTCGTGTCCCCCGCCACCCTGCTCACTGCCTCCGTGTGGGGCTTGGGTGCCGCGAGTGGTGAGGGCTGCTCCAGGTAGAACACAGCCCATTCCCACACCAGAGCCAGGCCTCGTCAATGCGACCACAGGACCCAATGGTGCGGGGATGGCTCCTGAAAACCAAAACACAGAGGCCTCCCTCACCCCGTCCTCCAGTCTGTGCTAAGGCAGCTTAGGTTGGGGAATCTCAGGCATAAGAAAAACTGGGGAGCCCTGGAAAAAGAGGGGCACCACTGTTCCCATAAGCAATACCCACCGACTAGGCCACTGCCTCATGGAAGGGCCAGGCCTTACTGGCTAACAGCAGGCACAGGCCACCTCAGGCACCAGCCAAGAGTCTTACCTGGGAGCTGGTGAGGGGCTGGGCACCCCCGGACTGGAGGAGAGTTGGGGGAGCACGCTGCCTTCCGTGGGCAGGAACCATGATAGGTACCTGTCCACCAGCATGAAATAGGCACAGTCTGAAGTACGAATGTGCAGGGCCCCAGGGAGTGGCTGGAAAATGAAACTGACGTTAGCATGTGGCTCTAGGTGTCGCCCTAGGCCGCTGACCCCAGCAACTGCAGGCTTGACTCATAACACAGTGAAGCCCTGGGACGTGGACTGCGTCCCCGAGGCTGGTCCACAAGCAGACAGGGCAATGTCAGAAAAGCACCCACCACAGAGGGCCTGACTAGACCCCTCAGTCCTGCTGGCATGTGAACCCCTGGGCACCTCCACCCTGTCCCCACACTCAGCAATCACCTTCTGTGGGAAGCCTCCCTGACGGCCACTTGGGGTGCCCAGCTCACCCCACACTGCCTGTTAAGTCAGCCCAGCAGTCTGTGGTCCTCACTAAATGAGGATGGCCTGAAGGGCAAAGGCTGCAGCAGGAAGGAAAAAAGGACCCGGAGAACGGAGGTGGGAAGGGAAAAGGAGAAATGCAAGACAAGGAAAGGCCGACCGCCGGCTCTCAGGCAAATCCAAGCTCCCCCTCCTCTGGGTGACAACAAGAGCCCTGGGTCACGGCCCCCCACCCTTCACGGGGGGCTTTGGTAAAGCAAACTGTGCTCAGAGGCATCCTTTCTGTACCTTTTGAGTGATGAGGCTCAACGCAAAGAAGAACAGGTAATACTCAAACGGATCTGATGGCAGCGTCAGGGGCAAACGGCAGGGTTGTTGGGCCACCCCCCAGCGCTGCGCTGACCACCACAGCCTCCCACCCTTGGGGTCGACAAAGGATACTGAGAGCCAGGTTCAGGCCAAGGCCCCCTGTGTGGGGGAACTGGACCTTGTTGTGGTACAGAGGGCTGTCCGGGAGCACGCGCTCCTGGATGGACGCCTTCACAGGGCCCTGCGGGGAGAGGGAGGTGGGCTCGTGGGCAGGTTTCGGCACGGTGCCCCACATGCAGTGCAGCCCTTTGGGAAGGCCATTGAGGAGACCAGCACATGGACCCCACCCATGGGACCAGTGCTGTCTCTGTGTAGCGATTGAGCAAAGGAGCCTTCACTTAGAACCCCTCATATCACACTCATAAAGATCCGCAAACAGCAAGGGCAGCAGCTGTGCACACTTCTGACCTAGCTAGGCACTTGATAAATCCCATCTCCTTTGCATTTCATACCCACCGAGCAAGTCACCCCTTAATTTGCCACTGCCAGCCTGGAGACTCAGAAAAACAAAGCAACCAGTCACACGGCCCCGCTGTCACCAGGCAGCATGGCGCCTTCCCCACTGGCAGAGTTTGGAACGAACTCTAAAGAAAAAGCACCACTGAAGTTCCAACACGTGGTGCCTCCTGAGCCCTGAACAGACGCTGTAGCATTCTCCCGCCTACCGTCACAGCCCCTCTGTGCCCCCGCCCACCCACCACTACTGCAGCCGCTCTGTGGGGCTCTGCCCCAAGAATGGCTCTCACCACCACAGCTTACTTACAGGCAGGTAGGAGACAGGAAAGTCAAACTTATAGTCTTCAGCTTGAAGTTTATAAACCAACTTCATCATCGGGCCCCTGAACATGAAATTAAACCAACAAACACAGGGCAAATGAACTACAAACTATCTTGCTTTGATTGTTTTTTAACTTTGAGCAATACAGTGATTTAAAAATGGCATCACCACGAGAAAACATCCAGCCCCTCTCGGGTGACAAACCTACCTACCCAGGGTCTAGAAATTCCATCGCAATGCTGTACTCTACAGGGCTCACACGTCCCTGTAAGCAGCGGAGGTTCCAGCCGATGAGGACGCCATCCAAGCTGCCGAAAATGCTCTCTACCAGCCATGGGAAGATGGCGTGCAGCTCCTGAAACAGCGTGCCGAGGAGCTTCGGGCAGGCCCGCCGAGGACCAGAGCCCAGTGCCGGGCTGTGTGCCGTGTGGGCCTCCCTGGTGCAGCTCCAGTCCTGCACCATGTGCTGCCCCCCTCCCTCGTGGGCCCTGCACTCTGAGGATGTCACTCCCTGGTTCAGAGACCCATGGGACCAGCCCGGCACCCACAGGAACCTGATGCAGCAGTGCCAACAGGAGGAGCAGCTCTGGATTCTTTCGCTGTGGTTACATGGCACAGCGAGCAGAACTGCTCACACGTCGGCCAGTTAACTAAGTCAGTCTACGATTACAAGGCTTTTAAAAATGTCAGAAACTTCTGATCTGAAGAGAGTTTTATTAAAAAGGGCGGCAACATTCTTTCTCAGAGTGAGCCCCTGAAACCATGACTTACTGCCATTTGGTCGTAACTCCTTGTCCAGACTGGCTTCCCGGACTTACACTTACTATCTGACAATTCCGGGTGTGATGTAAATACATATTTTCAGTATTTACATCAGGGTTTCTCAGCCTTGGCACTGTTGACATTTTGAGCTGGACACTTCTTTGCTGTGGGGGCTGTCCTGTGCATTGTGGGATGGTTACCAGCATGCCTAGCTTCTACCCACTCGATGCTAGTGGCACCATAGCCATGTGACAACTAAAAATGTCTCCAGACATTGCCAAGTATCCCTGGTGGGATAGAAGCATCCATGGTCGAGAAGCCCTAATCTACATGTTCACATGTTTAAATGTGTCTATGAACATGACAGTCACACTACTAGGTCAGGCTTCTGTGTAGGGCAGTGCTCAGACATGGGAATCAGTAATAATGTTTTTCAAGGAGCGTATTCGACATGCCCCAGAGAGACACTAGCAGAGATGTACCTTTGCGGGAAAATCCTCAATGACTTTAACCAAGTCTTGGCAGCGCTGTGCAAAGGGCTTATTTGTAGAGTCAGCTTTCAGGCTAGCCTAGAGGACAGAACAAATTGAAAAAATCACGAGCATATTCGCATTGCAGCTTTTGCTGATATTCTGGCTCGATTTGTAAAAGAAATTCAAGTGCTAGGCAGGAGTTAGACACAGAGCATTAGCCTGATTCTCCAACACCTCATCCACCAGGTCATGTGTGTGTCAGTGGCCTAAAGGATGCTACCAGAAAAGAGGTGAGGTCCTATGCTCTCTAGATGAGCGATGCTCAGGCTTGCTTCCCAGCACCCTCCCTCAGGCAGTCCCAGTTACCTGAGAGAACTGCACATTAGCAGAACAAAACTGACTTCCACCCAATCCACAAGCAGGTGGTCAGCTGCAGGGTCAACCCCGCAGCCAGGAGAGGACCCCTATGGAGTAGGGCACCCCTCACAGACCACAGAGTACTTACCCAGTGTGCACACGTCAATTGGAGATTTCCCACAGGACTGACCACCTGTGATTTACCCCACTGTGATCACCAGTGAGAATGCCCAACAAAATGAGGGTGTCATTTGTTGTCACTTAAGCCCTCTTAACCACAATGTCCTTTACTCAGTAGATAATGAACTTACTGAATTCATCACCTTAAGAAACAAGGCAGGCTAAAAACCACAGATGGCGTCAGCCAAATGCCGATGTGAATCATGAAGGTGATGGAGAGAAAACACTCAGGACAAGAACTAAGGGAATGTACCCGAGGTCAAGGGGTGCAGGGAAAGTACGGATCTATCCTGTTCTCCACAAAGAAAAGAAGCCTCTGGGCAAACGGACAAAGATCAGGAGGAAATGCCAGAATTTTAACCAAGAGGGCTTTCCCAAGGCTATCTCAGGCCTTGTCCACCTCCAAACGGGACTAGAGTCCACGGGGCTCAGTCAGAGGCGGAGACCTGGGCTGTTTAGGCCATGGGGCAGATGTGCTGGCTCTAGAGGGTGCACTGAGGAAGAATGTCCTTCCAAATAAATGTTACAAAAAGTATCTTCTGGGAGCTGAAATTAGAAACTTTCATCACTGATATTTGCCTCACACATAACTTCTCAGGATCACGTTTACTACTTAATGTACAGTTCTGGTGGCCCCCAACACAGCAGTGTCCCTCCATTTTTCACTGATGACAGTAATGATTATTAGAACACCTCACTTTTGTGTAAGGAATTACAAGACATGAAAATTTGGATGTACATCCTTGTCACTTGCTCTTCCTCATACCCTGGGAACTAGGAAAATGGCATTTGAATCAACTCGTATTACAGATGAGAAACCCAGGGCTCAGCGGTTGAGTCAACCCAGGGTCCTGCACCAAGAGGAGGCAGAGTCAAGCCTAAGGATTCTAACCCCGAGTCCAGTGTTATTTCCATCACATGCCCCCAAAAACAACCACTGGAGAGTTCCTGAAGCCCGTGGAAAGCACCCTCCAGGGTCTCAGCTACAGAACCATCATCACGCTGACACTCACTCATGCAGCTGGACTCACCAGTAGGAAGCTGGGCTGCTGCAGGTGAGGGAACGCCATGGCAGCCTCCCGTGGAGAGTTGGAAATGGCCGGCTCAGGTGAGCACTGTGGAAAAGCAAAGAGGACCTCTCGCCACCCGCCACACCACAGAATACTGCCTCGCTTCACAGTGCCCAGGAGAACACGTGTACAACTCAGCACACACCGCTCCGCCAGGGCCATGCTTCACAGAAGTGCTGTTCTGCAGTCCACACTGGCCAGCCTCTGAGCCAGGTCGTGGCAGGGAACACTTGGTAACGCTTGGTATCGCTTGTACAGCACTCGCTATGAGCCAGGCCTGGTTCTAAGGCTCTCCACATACTTCTCATTTAGTCCCCGGTGGTAGGCAGAATTCTAAGGATACCCCTCCAAGATTCCCGCGCCTGGTTATTCACTCATACACTCATCTAGGCAGTGCCCTGAAGGGATTCTGCAGACACAAGTCAAGTCTCAAGTCGGTGGACCATACGATACAGAGCAGTCCTGCCTGACAGCCAGCAAGGAAAGGGGATTAGTTCTACAACCCCAAGGATCTGGATTCTGTCAACAACCTGAATAAGCTTGGAAGCACATTCTTCCCGAGAGCCTCCAGACAAGAGCAAAGGCGGCCAACACCTCGACTTTAGCCTTGTGAGACCCTAAGCAGAGAACCCAGCCAAGCCTGCGCTTCTGACTAGACAATTGCGAGATAATACATGGAGGTAGCCTTACGCTGCCAAGTTTGCTAAGCAAGAATAGAAAGTCCATCCTCACCACAAGCCTGCACGGTCAGCACAGATGAGGAAATGGAGGCCGGGAGAAGGTAAGTCACTTGCCCTCACCCAGCTGGTAAAGGGCAGAGCCAAGACTCAAACACACAGACCTCCTCAGGACTCTCTCACGGAGACAGGTGGACACGTCTCCTCTGTCTTAGCTGCGCTGAGAATGAAGGAGGGGTGAGCAGCTCCCCCAAGGGAGCCCTGGAGGGAGCCGTCAGAAAATCAGGACCAGCTCCCAGATTCCTCCCTCCGCACCCCGGTCAGACACGGAAAAGCCCCCGACTCGGAGTGGGCAGAGAGGAAGCACGGCGAGTCAGGGGCTACCACCGACGGCTTTCCTGCACAGCTCTGCCCACCGCCCGCCGGGAGGGCGCCGGGGTGGCAGCTGGCGGTGGACGCGGCTGGGAGAGGCCGGGGCGCGGAGGCCGTGCAGGCGACTGCGAGGCGGAGAGGAGACGCGCGTCTCCGCCACTCGGCAGTCTGGACACCCCCCGGGCCTTCTCAACGCTTAACCAGCGATCACCTCAGCTTTAAGGAGGACTTCGGTCCACGCCGAAGTCCGGAGCCCGGCGGTCACGAGGACACCGCGCTCCTCCAGAACGACCAAGGCGGCGCCACCTCCAGACCCGCGGGCAAAGGGCGGAGCCTCGGAGAAGAGGGGCGCGCACCTCCTCGCTCAGAGCAGCCGCAGGGCAGCGGCTGCAGGAAGGAGCCCAGAGGCCCAGAGGCGCCCAAAGGGGGGCTCTCCCTCCCCGCCCCGCGGTCCGACCCGCCCGGCCAGGCCCGCCCTCCGCTCCCCGCTGCGCGGCCCCGAGCGCCCTTCCTCCCGCCGCCTCCACACCCGCGCCCTCGCGAGCGGCTCCCACCTCGTCGGGGGTTCTTCCGAGAGCGGCAGCCTCAGTCCACGCCGCTCGTGCCAAGGCCTCCCTCCGGCTGCTCCGGAGCCGAGCAGCCCCCACTGGGGCTCACAAGCGGCCTGCGAAGGGAGCCTCGGGGCCCCGTCCTACGGATGAGGAAACAGAGGCTCGGAGAACTCGAGCCCCACGGGGAGGAGGGCTCGGCCGGGACCCACACCGCTGGGTGACCCGAGGCTCAGCTTTCACCCCGAGCTCCCTTCCGCCGGCCCGTTCACGAGCGTTAACCGAGCACACGAGGCGGGCGTGAGAGGCGGCAGGAGGGCGCGGCCGGCCCCGGGCTCCCCGCCGGCCCAGCCCGGGGCTCGCGGAGGAACCGAGACGGCTTCGGCTGAGGTTCGGGGAGGCCGCCAGGATGCGGGGCGGTCCCGCGCGCGGCTCCCGCCACTCACCTATGGGGTCCACGGCGTCGCTCGCCTCACGGACGGAGGCCACCATTCGAGTACCGTGCGCCGAAATGTCGTCATCAAGCTGCGCGAGGAGTCACGCCCCTTGGCCTGGCGGGAAACGCGCTGCAACCATTGCGAGCGTGGGGTTACTTCGAAAGGCGCGTGCGCAGAACGAAGGCCAGCCGGGTTTATGGCTGCCACCTCTGGCTGCGCGTGCGCAGGGGCAACAGCTTCGCCCCTTAGGCCTGAGCTCACGCACTGTATCCACGGCAAGGACTGCGCGTGCGCGTAATGAGAGGCCATTTATCAGGGCCCGCGGGGCGTGCCCGGTAGTGGGGAACCGGTGCAGAACGATTACGCAGAGTGTGTTGACTGCCCTTCCTCCGACAGGCATTTATTGAGCGCCCACTGTATGCCAGGCACTGCGCTGGGTGCTGCTTACGTAAGCGACCGATGCAGCCTAGTAGGGAAGCCCTGATCGCCGAGGAGCGGGTCTCTGGGGTCGGCCACGTTTTCCCCCACATTTAACACACCGCCCGGCACGTACGTGTCTGCGGACAGAATGGCCGAGGGGAGACGGAGCTGTACAAGCTGGCCCAGGCGGCGGGTGGCGCCATCGACCCCGACGTGTTCAAGTGAACGGGCGAGGGGGCGCTGCGCTCGGCCGACCCCCGACACTCCTGGTCCCCAGCCCCGCCCTTGTGGGACCCCCTTGAGGCCCAGCGTAGAGTCGGGGTCTTGAGGGAGGCGGCCACGCCTGGCCCGGGCGAGGAGGGCTCCCTGCGCACCGTGTCTGCTCTCTCCAGGATCCTGGTGGACCTGCTGAAGCTGAACGTGGCGCCCCTCGCCAGTTGTTGAAGTCCATGTGTGCCGGGCAGAGGCTGGCGAGCGAGCCCCAGGCCCCTGCGGCCGTGTCTCTGCCCACATCGAGCGTGCCTGAGACAAGTCAGAGTCGGGCCCGGTACTCCCTGCCCCTGGGGCCCGGGCGGCCAGGTGGCAGGGGGCGGGGAGGTGGGCAGCGCTTGACAAAGCGCGGGCTCAGCCGTCAGTGGCCAGGCCTATCTGTTGGTCTTCTCCCAGGACCCGCTGGGTCATCCAAGGGCTCCGCCTTGGGCTCCAGTCCCCAGCTTCGGCTTTGCTGCCGCCCTTGAGAAAGCACGTCCAGATCGGATGGGCTCAGAGGGGGTGCCCCAGGGAGCCCTGAGTAGGCTGGGCCTCATCCCGGACTTCCGCTGCCCCAGCCTCTTCTCACCTCGGGGCTCCTGCCTTCATTCTACAAACGCGGGAACAAGATTGCTTTGGTTCCTGTTCTCACGGTTTGTACAGCCTCCAGGGACGTGCTCAGAGAGCTGGGCAGGCAGAGGCCTTCCTGCCACCCCCTCGCCTGTACCCCACCCAGACCCAAGTCCTGCTCAGGAGTCTGGCCAGCTGAGCTTCCCTCCTCGGGTTGTGGGACGGGAGTCAGCGTGGCAGCCCCTGGCTGCCCTAGATGCTCAGGGTGCAGAGGCCTAAGTGGCAGAGCGCTGGGCTCAGGTGTGAGGGCCCTCCTCACTCTCGAGGGTCATCACTGGGGGATGAAGAGGTGCTGGTGACCAGGTGTCACGGTGGAGCGCCAACTGCATCCTCCCTGTGTGTCACTTCTGCTCCCAGTGGCTATCAGAAACACTTGACATGCAGCCGAACCTCCTGGGCTGGCTCCTGGGCCAGAAGCACCAGGGCTCTCACAGACACCCCGAGACAGGGCTGACGTTTGGGTAGGGGCCAGGCTGGGCCCCCGTGGGTGGGAGTGTCAGGGCCCTGGGTACCCGCATCCCCTGCCCTGTGAGGCCCCCGGCACTTGAGCGCAGGCCTCCTCACTGATCCACGCTCTGTCTGCTCTCTCTGTGTCTCTCTCTGACCTCCAGAGGCCTCCTTTCTCTCTGCCAAGAACTATAGCCCCCTGCAAGGCCCTCCTTTTCCTGGGCCCCTCGGCCTGCGGCCTCTCTGGTTCTACTCCAGGGCCCAGCTGCCATGCACTTGCCTCTCTCTCCTGGGCCCCCCGGTTCTCTTGCTGCGTAATCTCTCCTTTTACAGGTTGTTTATTGGTTCATCTCTGGGAGTTGGTGTGCTTTCTTGTTTCCATGGAAACTGCCACGGCCCTCAGAAAGCCAGAACACCTTCGAGCTGCAAGGGCAGGACCCTGTGCACCATCCCTGCCACACAGCTTAGAGACCGAGGACAGGATTTCACAGCTCACTTTATTAGACACAAACCGCAGTACTTGTAGAACAGGACCAACACCCCCTCCCTTCAGAGGCTAACTCTGCTGGGTAAGACTTGTGCTCTGTAGAGGTGCCCCCACCCCAGAAGAGGACAACAGACTGAGGGGCAGGGAAGGGGCAGCGTGGTGCGCTGTGGAGAGCAAAGCCCTGGGTGTGAGAGACACCTTGGCCTCTTAGATGCTGTCAGCCATCTGGATGGGCAGCCTGGAGGAGACTGTGACTCCTCTTTTCTGCCTGATTCCTGAGCAGGCGGTACCTGCCCGGCATTGCCAGGGTTGTGTGAGGGAGGGCCTGAGATCCCACAGGTGCTCTGGCTTCACCCTCCTTCACGCCCCTCCCCATATTGCCCACCTGGAAGTTCCAGGTGCCACCTGGAGCTGGGGCCAGGGAGGAGTGGGGAAGGGCCGAGGGGCAGGTCAGGGGAGGGGTGGGTGGACTAGAGACTGGCCTGAGGAATCGATGGGCCAGTTTCCAGAGGGAGGGAGAAACCAGGAACAGAGTCCTCCCACTCGAGGGGGTGTTGGGTCCCACTCACTCAGGACTCTGGGTGTCAGGCCAGCTCCAGTGCTGAGGGCCCAGTGGGACTGCAAGAGGGACATGCTCTTGGTCCAGGGAGGGAGAGGGCTAGATAAAGCGACAGTAACAGGGACGGGGGGAGGCTGGTGCAGCTGGCCTTGCTGGAGCAGTAAGGGTTCAACAGGCGGGGGGACCAGCTGCAGTCTCCTTGCCCTGCAGCCCTGCAGGTG